TCTCCAACTGCAAACTACAAAATCTAGCAAAATCAGAAGATTAAAACCCACATCGGCTCTCTCTCTCTCTCTTCAACTGCAAACTACAAAATATACCAAAATCAGAAGATCAAAACCCTATTAGGCATATCCTTTCAGATTGTTCCAAAAATCAAAACCCATATCTTTCAAGCTTGCCCCCCTCTATCTTTGCAACTGCTAACTTGTATGTATGGGTTTTGTTTTAAATTTTTTTCTAAAATCAACTAATCAAGGTCTGTAATTCTTATTTTGCAACTCTTTCTCTCTGCAACTGCAACTACATATATATATTTCAGCCTCCCCAATAGCCTCCATCTCGTTCTCAGCCTCCCACTCTCTCTCGCTGCAACTCTAAACTATATATATAGACAATATATACAACACTTTCCCCTTCTGTAAATCCCTCCAATTCTTGTCAATTTTGGAGGGATTCCAAATGAGTGATTTGAAGGGATAGCAATCCCTCCAAATCCCTCTCAATCATTTTTTCTCTCTCTTATTCTTCCCATCCAAACACCATAATCACTATCCTTCCTTTTCTTTTCTTTCCAAATCCCTCAATCCAAACGAAGCCTTAGTGTCATTCCTAAACACAACGTTTAATTTGGTAATTTAATTAGTATGTAGTATCTTGAAAAAAGGTTTACTTTTCAAAAATTGTTGAAAACATTCTTCCAAACTCTTTTTTTTTAATCGTTTTTCATTGTATTATTAAATTTTCAATCATACTGTTAACACCCTTTTTGGTAAAATTTGTATTAATGACATGGTAACCAATTTTGGTATAAATTGACACGTGGAAAAGGTTACAGAAGTTCAGAGAGGCAAAGGAGATCGAAGCATTTGAATTATTTAATGGATATGGATTATAATTTTATTATTTATCTTTTAGTTGATGTAAGTTAAATATTTATATTTATCTTTATGATTAGTTTATTTTAAACTTATAATTAGTTGGGTTATCAGATAGGATTAGATTTTATTTCATATTAGTAATTAGTTATTTGATAGAGTTTGATGTATTTAGAATGCTTATGCATAGAAGTTTGTTTTTATGAATTATTCTATAAATAATCAAGGAGGCATGCTAAGATAGAGGTCCAGCACCCTCAGAATCATTTTATTATTATTGCTGCTTTCTCAAGCACTTTCCCCAAATGACATCCTTGCTATCTCTCTATTTCAGTCTCGTTATATTTCTCTTCCTATATCTCTCTCTATCTCTTCTATATCTATATTTTCTCCCCTTTCTATTATCAAATTATTACTATATACTATTCACTGATAAAGTCCTTTTAATTAAGGCAATTTGAACTCAAATAGGAGTTTTACTATTCTCTTTATCCTCGCATCGTCTGATAGTCAGTATTTTCAAAGAGACTACAAGTTGACAACTCACATTCGAACCATACAATTGGTTCTGGCACGCCCGTATCATATCAATTTCGAATCGAATCTTAGGAATCGATTTTAGCGTCAACACATACACGTAGTTGTTGCTAAAAACAATACATAATTGGAGTGATCTGCTATCAAATACATGTGGAGCAACACTTCGTGCATTAAAACAGTCAATTTGGTTCACATAATACATGATGCACAACAATTCTTTTTCTATGCCTCTGCACTCATTTAAAGAAAATAAAAATTTAAAAAAAAATCTTTATGCCTGTCACGTTCACTATAAGAGAGCACTTAATAAATTTTTGTTATAGTTTGTGGGCCGGTACGAACATAACATAGAACCAGCAGGGGCATTCGCCCCACTGAATTTTTTATATTTCTATTTTAGATCTCAATTTTTTTAGAATTTGTGAAGATCCTATTAAAATTACAATTCACTCCCACTGAATCTTTTTTTTATTTATTTATATTTTATACTTTAAAATTTTTAAAATTAATGAAGATGCCCTACTAAAATTATAATTTGCCCTACTGAATTATTATTATTATTTTTTTACATTTTATACTTTAAATTTTTAAAAATTTATGAAGAAAATTCCATTGAATAATTCAAATACTTCAATCATGAGGCATGTATTGCAAAACCAAAGCTCACAAAATTTTTTTCCCCACAAATTAAAATATCGTCCCCTCACAAAATTTTCTGATTCCGAATGTGGGGATTTCTTATTACAATAATGATTATAAGTAACATGAGGCGATATCTAAATACAAACAATGATGAACATGGACAAGAGTCACAAGAGCCTTAGTCGGAAGGAGAAGAAGACTAGCCAATGAAATTGGTGATGAAGTACGAGAGTCCTTTGCCTTCGATGTGTGTATTTTTTGTTTTTCCAGTCCTGCCTTCATGGCCTCCGTTTATAGCCAATCACCTAACTCTCTCGAGTCTTTTTCATAACTTGGGCCCACCTTGCTTGGCTAACCATCTGACTCTGCTAGGTATAGTAGGGTTACCATGGTCATTTAGTTGGGAGAGATGCTTTACTGCATTAAATACACATCCCCTCAACAGCGGTATAGTTAAACACTTTTAATGTGATTACAAGTGTTGGAGAGTAAATTTAACTTCTCACCAACCAAATCAAAAGTCCTTCCAGGTTCCGTGAGAGACATGGACTTTCGAGACCATCCTACCTTGGTCTCGAAATGGGTCCGTGTCCCACCAAAGGTGGGCTCAAGCGCCCTCGCGTGATCATCACTGTTGAGGCAGGGGTGCAACATGGCTCAACTCAAGCGGCCTTATCAGTGTGCTCGAAATCGCGGAGCGCCGTGGGTCCATGCTTCGTGGATAAGTGGATCCACTACATAGTTTTTTTCTCATAATTCCAGTTGATAAAAATATATAACAAATTCAATGGATTACAAAAACAAAGATTGACTATATATGTATGTATATAGAGTTGATATTATCCAGTATTCTTATAATTTCATGCATAATTGGCGTGGGGTGGATGACTTTTCTTTTTACGCTCTCAATCCTGTCTTCACGTTATTAAAATTTCTTCAACCATGTATGACCAAGTTGAGAACCAAAGACAATTTGTCATCCCTATCACAATGCAAACAAGCAAAGTGCATTTGACCGGATTGCAATTGTTCAATCAAAATAGTGAAATACAATAAAAATTTTTTTTGTATAGAATTAATGTCTTAATGTAAACTTTAAAGTAATTTTTTTAATTTTAATTTCAATACATTAATTTTATGCAATCCAACATAGCATAATTATTTTTTCTAAGTATTCCCTCAAATTAAAGTAAGCATCTGCTTTCTTGTTTTTTTATTTTAAATGTCACACAAAGTATCATTATGTTTGCCTTAAAACTAATTGTCTATTTTAGAAATTTGGGTAAAGTACAGTCACACCCTGAGATTTGGCAAAAAGACACTCAGAGTAAACTGACCTGTTTTTTAGACAAAGACACCCTTTGAAGGTTAAAAAATGGACAAAGATACCCTTTTACATGAAAAATTGACCAAATTACCCTTTAACAGTTTAAGAAACTTTTTTAACTTTACAATTTAATAAATTAGACCAATCTACCCTCATGAATAATTTATGTATAAAAAAAAAGTAAAAAAAAACTTTGTATTGTTAACTTCTTTTTTTTTTTTTGTTATTTAAAAAAAACTTTGTATTGTTAACTTTTTTTTTTTTTTTTTTTTGTTATTTACTTTATAAATGTTCCCAACTTTTTAAAAATGTAGACGTCTAAAATGAATTTTATGCATTTCCTAATATAAAAGGGAAAAAATAATAATAATAAAACAAAGGGAAAAAAAAAAAAAAAACACAAAGGCATGCATAAAATTATACTGGCACTTATTTTATTTTATATTTGAAAATGCATAATATTTGATATATAATGTAAGATGCATAAAGTTATATCGGTACCATATTTTTTATTTTTAAGAAAAAGAGATTGGTTTAATTTTTTTAGATGAAAGAATTAAGCATCTTAATTTAAAAATAAAAAAGAAAAAGAAAAGAAGTATTAACAAAACATAATTTATTTGAAATATATGTATTGGATCAAAAAATCATTTTAGACGTCTATATTTTTAAGAAGTTGAGACATTTATAAATTAAATAAAAAAAAAAAAATGAACAATATAAAGTTTTTTATTTTTATTTTTATTTTATGCATAAATTGTTCATGAGGGTAGATTGGTCTAATTTATTAAATTGTAAAGTTAAAAAAGTCTCTTAAACGGTCAAAGGATAATTTGGTCAATTTCTCATGTAAAGGGATGTCTTTGTCCATTTTTGAATCTTTAGGAGTTATTTTTGTTCAAAAAAATAAATAAATTTTATCTGAATATCTTTTTATAAAATTTTAAGAGTGACTCTACTTTACCTTAGAAATTTTAATGTGTGAATATTCACACAAGATATAATTTCATACTCTCTTTGCTTCTAAACATATTCAATAATTTTTTTTTTTTTTTTATTGGACAGAGATAGTAATTGAGTAATTGTTTTCAAATTTTGAGTAGTGGACTACTATTATTTTGGGAAGTCATTAACTCCATTTTTTTTTTTGTAAAAGGGTAATTTTTTTTGGGAAGTTGTTCCCCTATATGTCTCATTTAAAAAAAGTAATCACTACATATTGTATTGGGTCCCACCTAATCACTGTTTATTGCCACCTGTTCTATAATTTAAAAACACAACACTGTCACAGACATGACATTCCCTGTTTGGAGTTTTTGACTCGTCACTGAGTTTCCAAAACTCGGCTCGCGAACCGCCAAATTTGGAAACAAAACACTGACGCAATCAATTACCGTATATACATAACGGGACGACTTTCAAACCTGTCATAGTCATCACACACATAAATATATATATATATATTTCTATCATTATATATATAATATGTAAATGTGTCTATATATATATATATATACTACGGAGTACTACACACTGTCTGTCTCTCCGTTGGCTTCTTTTGCGGGTCATGTCTCTTTCTCTTCTTTCAAGCTATCAAAAATTAAAGCGGAGAGAGAGAACACCTTAGCACAGAGACAAACGAGAATCGCTCTTTTACGCCTTTTATTCTCTCTCTAGAAATGCTCTTTCTCTCTCTAGAAATTCTAGTCAAAGTTTGTGTAATACGTTCAAAGCACTCGTTTTAACCTCACATTAATAACAAGTACTCAGTGACCACTCAAGTCTCTCTGCTTAGAGATAAGAAGCAAGAGTTGCAGAGACAGACATAGACATAGCTACTACTCATCTACACACACATACATACATACCTAGAGAGTTTTAGAGAGAGAAAGAGCTGATAGATATAGAGAGAGAAAGGGGTATGGATAAAAGCTGTCACTCCTCTGGCGGTGACTCTAGTAGTAGCAGCAGTAGCAACAACAGAGATTACTACCTCAAACACCTTAACAAAATCAGTCACAAGATCTCCAAGCCGGTCAGACGACCCACTTTTGATCATATCAATCATCCACCGCCACCACCACCGCCACTGCCGCCGCAATCACAGCCGCAGAATCTGCCGCCGCAGCAGCAGCAACATCAACCGCCGGTGTACAATATCAACAAGAGCGACTTCAGAGACATAGTTCAGAAGCTGACCGGCTCTCCGGCTCACGAGCGGTTCTCAACGCCGCCGCCGATCCAACCGCCGAAGCCTCCGAGCTCCCGTCTTCAGCGCATACGCCCTCCGCCCCTCGCGCACCTTAGCAACCGTCCTCCTCCCCTGCTAAGCAACGCCGGCATAAACCCTAACACCGGCGGAAGCTTGATTCAGCATCAACGACAGCCTCTATCGCCGCTACCGCCTTTTCCGGCTGTCCACGCGGCGGCGGAATCGCCGGTCTCCGCCTACATGCGGTACCTCCAGGGCTCAGTCTCGACGGCCGATTCTGATCCCAAGCGATTGTCGCCGTTCTCGCCTAGGTGGAGCTATCTTGCTCCGCCTCAGCTGCCTCAACATCAGCAGCAATCGCTTCCTCGGCAGCAGAACATTGCTCCGTCGCCGACATCGGCTTCCATGGCTCAATTGCAGTTTCCGATGCCCTCATCGCCACTGCCGTTCGCTTGCTTCCCGTCGCCGCGGTCACCTTATCCGTTTGCCCCAAATATGCTGTTTTCGCCTACCACAGCGGGGCAATTAGGGTTTCAACAGTTCCCTGTGTCGCCAACAGTTCCCGTGCCGAGCCCAAGATGGAAAGATGTTTGAGAATTTTCTGTTTCTGTATACTCCAAAGACAAAGGTAGGCCTTTTATGGTGTTGTTGAAAGAGAATTTATATATTTATATCTGTACTTGTAGATGTTGAGGGTTATATTGATAGCTAGTTGTTGGAAGAAATGATGTTTGATACCAATCATTTAGGGTTCGTTCTGTAAATGGTTGTCACAATTGTGAAAAAAAAAAAAACCCTAAGTTTGTTCCTTTTGGTTTCTTCATAGATTAAATATTGGGGGACATTACTTTTGGCCTAGTTGGTAGAGCGCCCAGCTCCCCGAGCTGGTGTGCCCGTACTCGAGTTCTAAAAAAAGATAGATTGAATATCGGGGGAGATAAAGTTCTTCAAGTTTGGTGTATGGTTGGTTTTAGCATGCTCTTAATTTCCGTTTTATCGTTGTTATATTGATTTTAAATTGAGTAATGCTAAAATGCCCATGCTTTTAATTTCTGTTTATCGTTGTTATATTGATTTTAGATTGAGTAATGCTACAATGCCCGTTTTTTGTGCTATTCCAATAGACAGTGTCCAATAAAAACCGATCTGGACTTCTATCATTTTCCTTTTTAGATTAATCTGTACATTTATGGTGACATCTCGTTGCCTTTTGTAGCTAATAAGCAAACATTACATTATATGTTGATTGGTTGGTATGAGTTGTCTAATTATCAGCTTCGATGATTTTGAAGAATTTTAAGGGTTCTTGAAAATGATTTAGTATGCGAATAATTTCATGATCTGAGAGTTTGAAGTATGTAGAGTAGGAGGTGCAATAAGAGATTGGTCTCTTTGGTCTTCCAAGGTATATTGTGCAGGGACCGGGGAGTCGGGGAATGCACGTGGTCGGTGGTGGATTATGGAGTGCTCTAAGAGGCCCGACACCGCCATCGTCAACCCCTCCCCAAAAAAAAGGTGCGTGTGCTGGGAACTAGGGAAGTAAGTGATTTTGCTCAGTTTACATTCATTTGAGTTTTTGAAAAGTGTCTACAGATATGGCACTGTCAAAAGGAGGACTAGAATTGGAGGGTTCATTCTTACCACTTAAAAGCAAAAGTGTGTACATGGGACATGTCAAAAGAAAAAGTGCACATTGGTCTCTCTGTTAATTACTCTCTCTTGTGTATTTTACATGTGCAGTAGTAGTACAGTAGCAAGCTCAAATCTTGGCAGTTTGATGCATAGTAGCATGTTCCGACAAATCGCTTATTGTGTTGAGTTTTTGTTGCTTGAGTTTACACCCTTGGCTGCAGTTTACATGGTAGCAGGTGTCCTAAGTTGAGTTCACAGTGTTGTCCGTTTTGTCATTTGGTTAAGCTTTCGATAATGTTGTGGGGGAAGTCCCTGCATGCTTTGTGATCGAAATGGTTTCTGGCATTAATTATGTGGGCTGTAGCAAAAGATTATTTGAGAAAATGTGCTGGCGAGTTTGACATAGAATCAAAATTCTACACTTGCAACATGGGAACTCTTAGGATTCACCAACCTAGGTACTAGCAGTTTTGAATCTTTTGTCGGTGTCGGTTCTTTAGCGCAAGTTACACACACTTGCTTAATTTCAACTGTTGGAATATAAAGTAGCATTTCATTGTTAGAAATCACTGTTGATATATTTGGGTTGGAATTTTTATCCAGGATTTTCATTTTTAAGATAGACACTTTTTTTAAGGGTTGGAAGCCGAGACAAAAGCTATATATATGTTGTAGGTAAATGTGAAAACCTCCGTACTTGTTTTTGTTAATATAAATGTTTTACCATGTTTTATAGGTTTTGTACCCAATGTTTTTCCCTTTTCTTGTATGCTTCTATGACATGTTAGGCAAGTGGAGATCAAAAGCAGGTTTGGATGGGAAGATTTGTATAACTTTATGTTGTGGGAACTGTTCATATTTTTTTCCATTTGCATGTGTTTCTCAAAACCATTACTAATTGTGTTTGTAAGATTGTTTCTTCATTTCGTTCAGTACTTTGTTAGATTGTTTGTTTCTTTATTTCGTTCAGTACTTTGAAGAGTTTTTCTAGGGAAAGTCAGTGACGAAGTGTTTAATTTGGATCTTTTTCTTTCTATATATTTGCTTACCCTTTACGGGCAGTTGGACTTTCAACATGAAGTTTTGAGGTTCATTTTTGGAGAACCTTATGTTTTGTTTCATTAAACCCTGTTTCTCAAAATTTATATTCTATGGTTCCTTAGTATACATGCTAAAACTTGATGTTGCTTTTTAGTTTTTCCTTCTAAATATGGTGATTTCATCTTATTTCCATTTTTTTTTTTATTTTTTCAAGGTTTCTAGTATATTTTGCTTTGGTTGATTAGTAACTCCCAAAGGGGATAGCGGAATGACTCTCACCTCACATCCTTGAGGTTGGGAGTGCAAATCCCCTTCGGGCTTATACTTAAGGAAATTTCTCCGTGCAATGTTGGACAGGGGATTGCATGCTCTGAAAGGTCGTGCTGGGAAAAAATAAAAAAAGTGTGTGTGAAAAGGAGTCCTTGCGGTCGACTTCGGGCATGGCCGGCCGCCATAGTGTGACGGGCAGTGTGTACAAGGCCTGGGATTTGGACTATTTCATTTCATTTTAGATCGGTTTCAATTTTAATGGAACCACTCACGTGTAATGTCCAGTTACTTTAATTTCAACTTATGGACTCCAGAAAATAGAATGGTAACATAATGGAATCAGGCAGTAATAACCCAGGCATAGACAAAATGGTAAGTGGCCTGTTTAGTTATTTTAAACAGCAATTTCTGGAAAATTAAATTTTTTTGAGTTACGGAGTATTTGTTAAAAAAAAAAAAAAAAGAAAAAACAAACGCAGAATCTAACCACTTCGACAAGGGAAAAAAAAAAAAAAAATCGAGAAAACACAAACAAAATATTGAGACCAGAAATGAGCTCAGGCTAAGCTCCGCGCATGGAACTCGAGAATTGATGAAATTTGAGAAAAAGAAAAAAAAAATGTGGTTCAAAGTAACAGAAAATTAAAACCAAAATTTCCCTAATTCTACCATTTTCAAGGCATACCTATGCACCCGAACACGGCCTAAATGCTTTCCCCATTCAACAATGGAAAAGACTACCAACCATTAAAAATTTGTTGGAAGCACAGTTTGTCATTCTGCATAACTTCAACTCCACAAGAAAAACACTGGTTACCTTAGATGTGCATTGAGGTTTCATAGCTTCGGATTATTTTCCATAAGAGAATGAGAAAAATGGAATTAACAAGTTCACTATTGAAATAAGGATTTTAATACACCCGTTATCTTAAAAATGCAGACTTAACAAAATAATAAAAACATTCAAAACCACCAAAAAAAACCAAAAAAAAAAATGAAAACTAAGGACGGAGCACCAACATTCAGTGCCCCTATCAGGACAACAATAAAACAAGCCCCTTCTCCGAATAAAAATCACCAGAGGAGAAGTGAAATCCTAATTAGAGGGTCAGTTGCCCCTTCCCTCACTGCTGTCCATCTTCAGGCTTGGCAGCCTCTTTAATCTCGTCGGCTCCATCATCCTTGTATCAAAACACCAAAACTTGTTACAACAGAACCAAAAAACGTCATTATAGTATTCACAGCATAATTTCACCGTGGTGGATGAGTGACTTTTTTTTTCTTCTAATTTTTTAATTATCAACTTTAAGAATCAAATCATAGCCCCACCCCACCCATTAAGGTAGTGCCACACTAGCATTAAAAACTGCACAATGGCTTCGGCAAGGTGAATAAATGGCTTGGATGGATTCCTAGAAGCCAATGGTTATATTAACAACAGAAAACAAGGTCGAATAGGTTTGATTTGCTATTCTCAAACACAATTTTCAGGAAATAAGCTAAGACAACCAGTTACCAGAGACGTAGGAGGGTCATTCTTTTCTTTTCAGTCAAAATAATAAAACGGTTGAGAACAGCATGTTTATAAATTTTCCATCGTTCTCAGAACCCATGTTTCACAGAAGTCATTTCTAAAAATTCTGCTAAAACGGTCCAACATCTTGTTATAATTTGTTAAAATGATTAATCAAAATACTAATAATTATAAAAATGTAGTTTTCTGAAGCATTAAACTGCAAAGATAACTAAGAACATGGAATTTATAAGACAGCAAGTTGCATGGAAGCATAGTAATACCTGCATGTCTGAGGTCCACAAAGTGAGGTTGTCCCGAAGAAGTTGCATAATTAAAGTGCTATCCTTGTAAGACTCTTCCCCTAAGGTATCCAGCTCAGCAATTGCTTCATCAAAAGCCTGGTCAAGGCAGAGCAAAAGACTTGTCAAAACAATCTGGCCATACTAAAATCAAACAGCATAAATAGATATGCGTTACAATTTATATATTAATTTGAGTAAGTGGTCATCTAGCAATTAAAACTTAAAAGAAGTATCATCTTTCAACATTCTTTCCATTAACTCTTTAACAAATTGAAAGAAGAAAACAAGAGCTACAACATTATTAAATTAAGAATAGCTCACTTGTTTTGCTAAGTTGCAAGCCCGGTCAGGAGAGTTCAGAATTTCATAGTAGAACACAGAAAAGTTAAGGGCAAGTCCAAGCCGGATTGGATGCGTTGGAGCAAGTTCTGCATTTGCAATATCCTGTAGGCACAAAATTACAGTACACTTGAGACAAAAATGCAACAACAAGGAGATGAACCCTACTGCATGCTAAACTAGGAAGAAGCAAATTGTACATGCCCATAAATAACATCTTATAATATGAAAACTAGCGAAGGATTCTTTTAGTTTGCATTAGATGCAAAAGCATTAAGATCAAAGAATTCTAATGAACCGTTCCTAACCAGAACGTAGTAAATGAACAATTAAGATGATGAATAAATATCAACTTCAGATGAAATGAACCTTGAAAATAAGAGGGGCTGGGGGTGGAATTTCCATTGGTTCTGCTTGTTCCAATCAATAATAGTTTGTGAGAGAATATTCATAAAAATACCTTAATAAAAATAATACTGAAAAAATAAACCATTCTAGTTATTTATGAAGCTTCACTCATCTTGATCTGGTCTAGATGCTTGAAAAAATTTATCATCACTCTTTAGTTGGGCACAAGAAAAATATATTTAATTTCCCATAGAAAATCACTCATTTAAGTAAAATATGATCCATGGTGACACCTCTTCCTCTACAGAAATAGAAAGTGACTTACTGATGAACTATCTGGTGATTCTTCCAGAGACTACTCTGGAAACTCATCATAGTTCTCAAATATGAGAAAAACGTTTCATTTTGCAACTTCAATTTTATTCTCAGGAAAATTTTTGGATCAGGCTTACCAAAGCAAACAAGACTCGGCCACGGTTTAAAAAATTGGCCATTACATAATGAAGTGCAAGGTACCTATATGAATACAGGGTGATAATTCCATTCGGGAAAAAATTCACAAGTAATGCTTTTCTGTATCCGTAAAGGCAATCCCGTTACAGCCGTTGCATTCTTTTTGTGCATCATCTCTCTGCAGTTCACCACTCTCTCTTGGAAAGGAACAACTATAAATGCGCAAATTAAATCATCTCATCAACTCTGAAATCTGAATTCTGCTTATTTGAGCACATGACTAGGCCACTGCAAGGTCCCCAAATAAGGATCTGATGAAACTCCATTAGATGACACGGAGGTGAGTATGGGTATATAGATAATATGGAGGGGAGTGAAATTAAGGGTGAAGAATTCCATTGGATTAACTATAAGGAGTTATCATTGTTGAAGGAACCAGTGGTTTGGGGAGTAGTGTGTGCTTTTTTCTTCTTTTTTTTCCCTGATAAGTGGGAGAAGTGTGTTCTCAACCCCAACCCCCCAAACCAAAGTAGGAAAGGAGGAGTTGTTCTGCATTCTTTGGTGTAGGTTTTGTAGGTATTTTATGGGTTCTGAAATGGAGTTGTTTTATTTGATTCGCATCTAAGCGAGGTGGATGTTTGAGATCTTTTCTTCGAGTGGTTTGCTGGGGATTAAAGAATCTTAGGTGTAAAAAAAGGAACATTTTCATAATTTTGACAGAAAGTAGTACAAACTTTCAAATGTGACAAATTGAGAAAGGAATTTCGAATTTTGAGTTGTTTGTTACTGATTAAAGATAATCACAGCTGCATCCGATACCTTAATTTCAATCCCAGCATTCAACTCGCATCAATAACACATGACCTGCTTGGGTATGTGTTAGTTAAGTTAAACCGACCTAAACCTTATGTAAATAGCACATTAACAACTTCGCTAATATATCAATGGATGCTCAAAAATGCAAGCTTATGTAGAAACTAGAAAGAGATCTAAACCGTAAAACAAAGTCTAATAAAACTAATTCCAAATTCACAGGAAATAAATCTAAAACATTAAAATTATTGTAACACTAAATAAGAATCTAATAAATCGTAATCAAATCCATTATACATTCATACATATATAGAGGGTGGCGAGGAGAAACCTGAGCCGATTTGTATGCAGTGAGTGTGCTCTCGGCTGCTTCCTTGCGCTCCGCACCGGTCTTGAACTCGGCGAGATAGCGATGATAATCGCCCTTCATCTTCAGGTAAAAGACTTTGGAGTCCCCAGAGGAGGCCGCGGGGATGAGCCTGGAATCAAGGAGCTTGAGAATCCCGCCGCAGATCGACGAGAGCTCGGCCTCGATCTTGGATCTGTACTCGCGGATCGTCGCGACGTGGTCCTCGTTGCCACGGCTCTCCTCCTTCTGCTCGATCGACGATATGATCCGCCACGAGGCTCGTCGCGCGCCGATCACGTTCTTGTACGCCACCGAGAGGAGGTTGCGCTCCTCCACGCTCAGCTCCTCCGACTCCGCCGCCGCCGTGACCTTCTCCATGAACTCCACCATCTCTTCGTACCGCTCCGCCTGCTCCGCCAGCTTCGCCATGTACACGTTCTCTTCGCGTGCTGAAGGTGCCCCCGCCATTTTTGGATCTGTTAGAGAGAGTGTGTGAGGTTCGAGAAATGTTTTAGAGAGAGAGACGAGAAGAGGAAATGGAAAGAGAGAGTTGGTTTGAGGCTGTTTCGGATTTTACCTTTTCTGGTAGTGATTGATTTTGGGGCGAGAATCGGAAAAAAGAAAATTTTAGTCGGGAGAATAAATGTGAGCCGTTGGATTTTACTGTCAGTGGATGACAGATAGGATTGGAGGCTTTTGAGCTGGCAATTATGCAGTTAACGTCCAAAACTGGCCCAAGCGACCAAACCAGTTCAGAGCTAAATGAATTATTGTGCTTCCAATGCAACTTACACAGTACCTTCCTAACTTTTTTTATACTATTATGTTTCTAAAATTTTATTTCCGATAAGACAAAAGTGCAAAAAAAAATATTGCCCAAGTATTGATTCTAGAATGGGATGAATAGAGTCAATAACAAACAATAGGCAATTCAAATTATAACACACACTTTATAACATTTATTCAATAATCAAGATATGGATATAAACAATTAATAGTATAAATGTAAATAAGGTAAGGGAAGAGAGATTACAAACATTCACACGGCGATTTTAGCGAGGTTCGGAAGCTCTTACTTCTCAACTCAAGATCTCTCTTGAGACTTCCCAATCCTTTACATGAAGCAATTCCTTGCTTCACCTTGCTAAGAGAACAACCTTCCCTTAGTCTTCCTTTGGGTCACATCAACCCTTACAAATATGAAGCTAACTTGCTTCTTCTTCCTTGGGCCACACCAACTCTTACAAATTGAAAAACAGATTTTCAATACAAAGTAATCTCTCACAGATTTGATGTACAAAGTTTAGCTCACTCTAGAGTATATATATGAGTACAATGAAGCACAATACTCTTCTAATGATATGGGATGTATGAATACAAGAACAAAAGCTCTTTGGATGCTATATGATGTTTCCCTATGGTAGCAACACTAAATCCCGAAGTCCCCAGCTCTACTTATAAAGTTCTGATGCAACTAATTAAAAAATATAGCTATTGTGCATGGAGCTCAACGCAAAATAGCCGTTTAAATCAGATCTGGACTTACATCGATCGACCGAAATAACTTAAGGTTTGTCGAATGCCTCATTTCGGTCGTCCAAAATGACAAACCGGTCTGCCGGTTGTGAATCTCAAACTAGCATGGCTACTGCCCAGTAACCGATCGTCTGGTATAAATTGCCTATACATTTCAGGCTGCCGAAATAAAACTGCTACTTTAGAAAATGTTCTAAGTTAACAGATTACACAGTTTTTGTACAGGACATCTGCACATACCTCGCTAAAATTATCTATTGCCTATACATTTTGGTATTGCTTATAAATTGCTAAAATGTTATAAGAAAATGTCTTTACAATATTTATATATCCATTTACTTTAAGTTTACAATGTAAATAAGGAAGTATCTCTTATTTGGATTCAATAAAAAATATAAGAAAATTGAAATCTGTCGTGACCCGGGTTTTGATTCAACCCGGAGCAACAGTGATGAATCGAGGATTGACCCGATAACGGATCCAGATGCAGAAGTAAGAAACAAAACGATGGTCTTCCAATGCACAAAACACCTCTAAGACCCTAGGATGACCCTCCATGAGGTCACGGAACTCAAAGAAAGTATGTGCGAAAGCAATAGATAAACCAAAGCCTCACGAGATATAGATCATCTCTCAGACGCAATGTGACCTTCTATGAAGTCACGGAACCCAAGGAAATAACCGGAAGTGGAGACTAGGATAAAAGGGTTAAATGGCACCCTATGGTACCAATGACAACTAAGGGAACAAAGTCTAATTTAATCTAGACCACGTACACCATTAAATGGCTTGAACAAGACCAACAAGGTCAAATAGAAACAAGTGGAACAAGGTTAAACCATCAAGGCAACCAACCAAGCAAAACTCATAAGGCAGCTCCATTTCAGTCGACCGAAATGGAGCATCGGTCTGCCGAAATAAGTCTGGAGAAAGAAGAGAAAAGAGCTCTCAGTTTGGTCGACTGAAGTAACAAACCGGTCGACTGAAATAAGCCTCGAATCGAAAAAGGCTACTGGAATTGAGATTTTCACTGAATAATTGAAATCCAAAGGGGTTCAGTCGACCGAACTGGCATTTCGGTCGACCGAAATGGCTCGAGAATGTGCATATGAACCTGTTATGCACCTGAATAAAGAAAAGACTCTAAGTCTTGTTGGAATCCCCCATGGTATGATCAATTTGCATTATAAGCTAATGCGTGATGATGTGAACATACACGCAAGTGTAATATGGCATTTTAAACATGCTACAATGGCCTACGGCCTCATTACATCACATTAACAAGATCTGACATGCCAAACCTCCAAAGTTGATAAAATATACATTTCAAAACAAAATGTAGCTCCAAATGAGTACAAGTGCAAATATAAACATGCTTGGCCTCGGCATCATGTTATACATGTTGAATACAATGAAAAGAGTGTACTTATGTACATATTACATAAATGGAATCAAAGAATACAATTTTGATACCTAAGGCTACCAAATGACATCTCATGCTAACACTTGCATGAAATAGAAACTTGAAGATACAAGCCATCCCAATGAATGCTAAGCATCACGAACCAAGTCTTCGTACCTGAACAAATCCCCTAGTAACTTCGGGGTGAGTAAACAAGTTTACTCGTAGAGAATGAGCATGCATTGACTCGATTTCTTTAGAGAATTTTAGACTACATGGAACAGTTCAAAATTGTCATACCACCTAACGTCTATGTCAAAGGTGAGACTCAGGGAACATCCTAAGCTATCTTAGAGTGCTAATAACAAGAATCATGATACATATACAGGTATGAAACAAATAAAGATTGGGATAATCCAAGGAACACAGCAAGAAGGATGCTTGAATACGAGCTAACAGGGATTACATTATCGATGCAATTAACGTGATTGGGATATTCCAATTAACAAGACAAGAGAAATGCGTGAAGTCAAGATCATGGCATAATATCTATGCAAGTAAACAAGATTGGAAGATTTTAATTAGCAAGACAAGAGTGATACATGAAATCAAGAATAATGCATAATATCTATGCAATTTAACATGATTGGAGCATTCCAATTTAACAAGACAAGAAGTATACATGGACATGAGTTAACTAGAATTACATAATCAATGCAATTAACATGATTGAATCATTCCAATTAACACGACAAGAAGTAATACACGAAATCATGAACAAGGCATAATGTCTATGCAATTAAACAAGGATAGAACATTCCATGAAACACGAAAGAGTTACACATGAATCAAGAATAAGGCATAATATCTATGCAAGTAAACAAGATTGGAGTATTTCACATACACGACAAGTTTAAATCTTTAAGGAATAGTAACTTGAAATTTAAAGAGTGAAATCAACTAATGTGAAAAACTCAGATATCGTCAGAATTAAAACCGTACTCTTGAGATCACTTTAGGGCTACTAACCCATGGGTATCTTTTTCCTAGTGCGCACTATAGTGTAGGAGGACATTTCCCTGTACTAGTACCAAGTTTTAGCCATGTCAATTCTTTATTGATATCCCAAGTCCCAAAATTAACAAGTTGTGCAAACCAAGATAGTATCAAAATACTAGAAATGCATTAACCACATCTCATGCACAACCAAGATTTTGGAACACACAAGTCATGCCCTAAGTTCACCAATTATCATGGCATGTGAAATGTCAAGAAATCATAGTGTGCATTTCTATAGATTACAACCAAGATATATATAGCACATGGAATCCATTGATGTAAATATACCACAAGTCTAAGATTAATGATTTGATTAATTACTAAACAACACATGTGTAATTAAATCATTCCAAGACAAATATACATGTTCATTAAGTACTTTAACGAAACCAAGATACAAGGGGTCACGATGCTTGATAAAAGGATACAAGTCCATGATTTACAAGTCAAATTCACAAATTTAACAAGAGTTCAATTTCAAGGCATGATTAACTCGATGGAAGCATAAAATGGAATTTAATCTACTTAAATGATTAAATTATTAAGATTACAAGACAAGTCCAAATATTCTACGAACAAGGCATGTCAAGGCGAAGTCTAATGTCAAGTTACAAGTTCATTTCATACAATATACGACCATGTGAATTAAGTCCCATACAAAGGAAATAATTAAATATAAGTTTCAAAACTTATCCGATTATTCTCAATTTGATACACATGAAGGAACTCGTCAAGGAAATCATGAATACAAGGTTAAAAACTTCATCAAGTACAAGGGACCATTGAATGGATTTTAATTAACTCATTTAATTAAAATCTCTAGATTTTGAAATTTATTCACATGACTTCAATTTAATGTATCTTATACAACATGTCAAGACTTGATTTAAAAACAAGATACAAGTGAAATCTAAGCAAGATACGACCATGAGTATTAAACTTTAATACTAGAAAAATAATAATTAAAAGGTTTTAAAATCAAATCAAATATTCTAGATTTAATATATGTGAAACTACATGACATGCATATCAAAGATATCAAATCAGAAATCTGATGGAGTGAATAGTACACTCGGAATAAATTAATTAATCAAATTAATTAAATATTACTAGATTTCAAAACAACTCCGATTACTCTCAAATTTACCTATGTTGAAGAGCATGTTAGGGCTTAATATAATATGCTAACACACATTGATTTCAAGTTAGAAAAGGCCACATGAATTAATATTTTATTCAAGATAAATATTAAATAAAATCTTCGTTACTTGTCCAAACGATTTAGATTTAATATATGTCAATCAACATATCAAGGGGTAATATTCTATCATGCCACATGTTTAAACAAAGTTATGAGCAACCGGGAAAATCAAATCTCATACTAGAAAATAAATAATCAAAAGTTCTAGATTTAATATCCTAGCATGTAAACAAGTTGTATAAGCATCCATAACATACTATATAACAAGAAAGTAAATTATAACACCCCCTACCTCGATTTGAGATGAAAACCTCAAAGGCCCACCGAAAAAAAAGTGCTCCGAATCCGACGATACCGAAGGGTTTTGTTGGGGACAACACGATGAACAAGAATCCACAAGAAGCCTT